CATTGTTTTGAAGGAATGTTCCCATATCATCTTCCTAGGCAATCGTTGGGACTTTTTTCATCAGATATAAACAAGGAAGTGTTCATCACTTGGAATTACAAAAGCAAAAGATTGCCTATGCATTTATATTATGTGGAAAATATTAAATAAAGATTTTGGGGTTTTTCTATTTTCATAATCTCGTTTTTCTTTCACAAATATTCTCTCCTGATCTATGTAGTTCTATGCATTCAAGACGAACTATTTTCAAAAAGACATAGGTGAAATTTTAGGTAAAATGTTGACAAATAAGGCTTTCCATATAACACTAAGCTATTCCTTTCCTTTCTGAGTCTTTTTGTTGAATTCAGATTACATAGAATCAGTAAGAAGCAATGGCAGGGATTATTTCTTCCTTTCTTCTTATCCGTTTATCTTTTCCCCATTTTCCCTACTTTATATTGTATTTCCCTTCCACTTGAAATTTGTCCACCTAGTAGTTTTCCAGGTTCCCATAACATACCTTCTTTCATCCATTGTTAAGGAAATCTCTTGGTCCCTTGCTATTTCCTATTTATTGGCTTATCACTCCTTCTGTTTCTTTAAGAAGTCCTTGAAAAAATCTTTTTTTCCTCAATTGACAGTCCATCTCTACAGTTGAATTTGGTGCCACTTTTAAGATTCTGGATTCCTTTAGGATTTAGGATTCACATGTTGAAAGACATCTGGGTGGCTGCAGTACCATAGTGAAGCTGGTGGATTTGTCCTTATTATTTGTTACCTTGAACCTTTTGATACTTCTGTCCCAGCTGACACTTTATGCTCTTGATACAAACTTTACTATTCTAATTTCACTAAATTACTTTTAACCTTCCCCTTTCTCTCTCCCTTGCCATTAAAAAGACACAGTAGATTGGATACAGGGTGAAGTTAAATAAGGATACCAAGTTCCAATGCCTCTGAATCTGGTAGTCAGGTTTTATAGTCTATATAAAGAAAGAGAAGAGAAGAAAACTATTCTAAATAAGTGTCACTTGTTACACACAATCTATTTTTATTTGCTTCTTTGATTTGTTTATTTATTGATTGATTGTTTGATTGATTGATAGATTCATTTTAGGTTTTTTTAAGTTGGTTACAAGACTATAGGAGAAAAAAAAAGAAGGATCCTGAAGATGATGAACAGAGTCTTATGGTCAGAATCCTGCACCAGGAATTACATATATACTAACCATTTCTGTAACAACAAACATATCTAATCAGCAAAACTCAAAATCAAAGTTTAATTTTTTTCCACCTCAAGAACAAAGTCCTGAAGTTGTTTCCAAGTAGAAAAAAAGTTAGTTGTATTCTTTTCTCTAATTAAAGCAGACAATTTAGCCATGTCTGCTAACTCCATCAGCTTTTGCAGCTAATCATCCACTGAGAGAATTAAGGTATTTTTTCCATTTTTATGCATAAAACATTCTTGCTGCTGTCAGTATATATATCACTTTTTTAAAATATATGTATATTTGTCCATTAAGACTAAAAGAAAGTATCTGGTTTTATCTTCTTATTTGCTTTAAGACTCACCTATATTAAGATGTGAATCCTACTCAAATATTTCTTTGCTTTGTCACAGGTTCATCATAAATGGTAAAAAGTTCCTTTTTTACATTTACATTTCCAAAATATATTTGAAATATCTTTATTCATTTTTGACAATTTATCCAGTATTAGATAACAATGGTACATTATTTTATTTAAAAAAATCATTTAAATTAGCTGATATTGTTTAGGGAACTGGAATTTAAAGTTATATCTATATGCATATATCTATATGACAATATGTTTGCATGAATAAAGCTTCTTTTTCTCCTTCTTCCAGAAAAATGTGCTTTCTCTTTCCCAGTGCAAACTTCTTTACATATAAACCTATAGTGTTTCAATTTTAAATATTTAAATCAGTGATTCCCAACCTGTGGATCGCAACCCTTTTGGGGGTCAAACAACACTTTCACAGGTGCTGCCTAAGACCATCGGAAAACACATATTTCCGATGGTCTTAGGAACCGAGACACTAGTGAGAATTTCTGCTCAAGGCTAGTTCCTCCAGCCAGCTCAGGCAGACAGGAAAGCAGCTGCCTCAGCAGTATGGCAGAGCTGCGCTACCCATTGCAGAGCAGCTACTGCCGCATTGCCACAGCTATGAACCTCCTGCTCGGCATCTTTCAGGTCGTCTTGCCTGGCTTCTGTCTGGGAGAAGCGCAGGGCCAAGGTTAAAAAAAAAAGCCTGGCAAAATACTCCCAAGGGGTAGCATTGATCTGTAGCAGGAGGTGAAGGGGGTTGATGGGTGGGTGGGGCTTGACCAGAAGGGAACAGGGTCTGATAAGAGCAAAAGTTGAGTGAGGTTTTACCCCTCACCACTCTCTCTGCCTTCCTTTGTGCAGCAGCGTCTCTGGCTGCTGCCTTCCCAGTCACCAAGAAAGGGGAAAAAAAAAGAGCTGTGAGCAAGTTCCCTTTCTGCCTCATTGCTTAAAGCTTTTTTTTTTTTTAATGACCACTTGTTCAGAACTCCTTGGGGCTTGTTTGCACGAGCTTGTGGCAGATAAGTAAATAAAGGGGTGGGGGAGCCAAACCATCCAAGGCGTTTGCACCCTGAATGTGTGGACACTGCTTTCATGATTTGCCACTACCCCCCCTCTTCCTGCCCTGCTCTAGCAACACACTGCTGCTGCTGCTGCTGCTTCTGGCTGAGCTGAGCTGAACTGCGGTGCCGAGCTGGTCCCCACACCTCCTGGTTGCCCGGCCGCACTCCACCCCCGGCCACCCTCTGCGCCATGCCGGAGCCTCCCCCACACTGCCCAGCCCACTTCCTTCACCATTGGAGGACATCTGTGTGTGTCTCCAGACCTTACTGAACTACCATCCTCAGCAGCCCTAAAAAGCACTTTGGAAGAGTGGGGAATGCTGGGAGTTGCAGTTATTCACCATCTGAAAAAACATGATTCTCCAAAGATCAATCCTTCCTTCCTTCCATCCATCCATCTCCTTCCCTTCCCTTTCAATCTTTCCTTCCTTCCTTCCTTCCTTCCTTCCTTCCTTCCTTCCTTCCTTCCTTCCTTTCTTCCTTTCCCCTTCAATCTCCTTCCTTCTCCAGCTCCTTCCTTTCCCCTTCAATCTTCCTTCCTTCCTTCCTTCCATCTCCATCTCCATCCCTTCCCCTTCAATCTCTCTCTCCTTCCTTCCTTCCTTCCCCCTTCAATCTCCTTCCTTCTCCATCTCCTTCCTTTCCCCTTCAATCTTCCTTCCTTCCTTCTTTCCTTCCTTCCATCTCCTTCTCCATTTCTTCCTCTTCAATCTCTCTCTTCCTTCCTTCCTTCCTTCCTTCCTTCCTTCCTTCCTTCCTTCCTTCCTTCCTTCCCCTTCAATCTCCTTCCTTCTCCATCCCCTTCCTTTCCCCTTCAATCTTCCTTCCTTCAATCTCCATCTCCATCCCTTCCACTTCAATCTCTTTCTCCTTCTTTCCCCTTCATTCTTCTTTCCTTCCTTCCCCTTCCCTCCCTCCCAACATTTTTGAGCAAGGAAGAGTAAGTTTCTCCAGCGAACATTGCTATATTGTTTTTGTGATTAATCAGTATGCTTTAATTATGTTCAATTTGTAACAATGAAAATGCACCCTGCATATCAGATATTTACATTACTATTCATAACAGTAGCAAAATTACAGTTATAAAGTAGCAACAAAAATAATTTTATGGTTGGGGGTCACCACAACATGAGAAACTGTATTAAAAGGTCGCGGCATTAGGAAGGTTGAGAACCACTGACTTAAATGGAAGTAAAGAGGAAAGGAAAGCCAACTAAGGATTTTAGAAAGACTTTACTACTCCCTAAATAAATTATTTATAATGTTGATGAAATTTATGTTGTTTTTCTATCTCCTCCTTTTCTCTCTTTCTCCATTTCTTTCTCTAAATATACTATATATATACCATATTGTTCTGAAATAGATAATGCATGGCATTTTTATTTCAGAGTATTACCTCACAACCATCAGCATGTCCTAGAAATCAGAAAAAGTTTGAAATTTTATGAAATATTTCTCTTGACTTCCAGATCAATAACAGCCACCTTGGTGAGAATTGAATTTATCAGTTTAATAGAACTTCTTTCCACAAGGGACAAATTTATTCCTAATTACAAGTGTATTCTGCAAAAGTATCTGATGACAGACATTCAAAAGTGAATTCTGAGATCTATTTTCATACAACAATCTTATTGTGGAGTCTTTGGTGTTCTCTGAGATTGGTTGTTTTTTTGCAGAAGTTTCATTCCCCAAACTAGGTAACATCATCAGTGCATTGATGATGTTACCTAGTTTGGAGAATGAAAACTTTGCAACAAAAAAACAACAACCAAGGTCAGAGGGTACCCAAGACCCCTCATTTCAACCCTGAACTACAAATATTCTCCTTTTTTGGTAACCTTACTGTGTATCTACAAGATTCCATAGCCAGGATGCACTCCTGGACTTTAATAAAAAGTAAGTCCTTTGCATCTTAACTTAAGTTTATATCCACATCCTCTGAATCTATAAGATCTGTTAACAGTGGCACAGTAATAACTTGCTGTTGCTGATATAAGGGAAAAATAACAAAAAATAATAATTTTAGTTATGAAAACTGAGAATTATGGATACTTATCCTAATTCCAGATTGTTCCTGGGTTATATCTGAATGTGTTTTGAACAATTATAATTATATAAGAATTATTTCCTTTTTAAAAAATACACTTACTCTGATTGATATCCAAAATGTCTAATGAAATGAAGAAATAGGATTTCAAGTCAGAAGTTAAATTATAGTCAAAAAGTAAACAAGATAAATACAATCATTTCTCCAGAGAGCCAATTAGCCATTTGTTTTCTAAGTGAATAAATTCTCTCATGACTCCTGAATTAGAAAATATTCCAAGATTTAAATTACCTCCACAGATATTCCTTTCTCCTAATATATTTTATGTTTTAAGTGTCAGCAGTACTGATAATATGGTGCTTTTAAACAGAACAGAGACAATACAATTTCTTTTAACTTCAGCAATAGCGGAGAAACATCAATGTCTCATTGTAATTGTCTGAATGCATTGATTGTATGAATGAACAAAAAATGCAATCTATCCAGGTATGAACTTTAGGAGCAAATCATTTCTTACTTAAGGCTGCTTACAAATCCTTGATTTTTTTTTTCTCATTGTGAAGGTTTACACATTTCATTTCATATGATTCACATGTTCATTGATGTTTTTTCTTTTATCTCATATTGTAGAAAGAAAGGAATCGTAAGCTAAAAGCTTGTATTGCCATTTAGAGGAAGAAAACAATGTAAGAGTAGAAACCTCAGTTTAGGTTTTGTAGACTACAAGTAACTGAGGGTGTTCGGAAATATATGTATGGATATGTGTATGTGTGTAATTTCACTTCATAAACTTGCATAAAACTGCAAGTTTTATGGTGGAGAATCAGAAAAACAGATATGATAAGCATAAGCTTGTGAATATACAGTAGAAAGAATGTGAACTGATGAAGTTCACCACTTTCTGATGTGCTCTTTACCAAGAGCCCATTCTTCTTCTTCTTGTGCCATATCTGTTATCGGATGTTGGCGATTATGTTGGCGATCCTGTTTTTATCAGCAGCCGCACGAAAAAGTGCTGCTGAGTTTTGTCCAAATCAGTCCCTTAGATTTTGAAGCCACAATGTTCTTTTTCTGCCTGGATCTCATTTACAGAAAAAAGCAAAAGAAGCAGCAGGCCTCTACAAAAAGAAAAACAATAACTTAGTTGACAAAGAGGGGGAAATTATCTTAGATGAGAATGTGCACACGCTGTGGACATGCTGTTTAACTGGCTGCCACCACACCATGTGCTGTTCTTCTGAATCTGTTCCAACCAATATGGTTTCTGCCTTCAGTCGATACTGGGGAGCCAGCTGCCACTCACCAGGCCTGTTGGTCCACGGGAGGTATTTGATTCCCTCCAACCCACCATTATAGTATAATGGGTAGAGCCCTCCAATCTGCCACCTGGGGATGCGCTCTGTGGGGTTCCAGGATCCCCCTAAGAGAAGAGCCCATAGTAAAGAATAAATCTTCCAACTGTTCAGTAACCTTATTTAGATCTTAAACTGCAGATTAGTTCATAGAAGTTAGTGGAGTATAACATTGAATTCCACTTTGTTAAAAACTTTTCCTGAGCAGCTATTTGCATTAAAAAATGTGTTTATACTGCTAGAGCAGGGGTGACGTCATGTGACATGTCATGATATATCACAACTTTTTTTCCATTGCTGGCAATGGGGTGGGTGCTGTTTTGCTATGACGCATCCAGCCTGTGGGCTGGCAGTTTGATACTCCTGTGCTAGAGGAATGATTTGGAAAACAGGTGTTTTCTTTAACTATGGGATCATTCACTGGATAAGATTAGACAAAAATGTCAACATGCACCCATAACCATAGATTAATATATAAAACTGTAAACCAAGATACAGTGTTGAAAGCTCAACAAATTTAGCTTCCTTGTTAAGCTTGCTTGAGATACTGGGCATGGATTATTACCATTATATCTCATTCATTTAGGCAGAGAAGATCTTAGCCAGTGCAAGAAGAAGGCAAAAATCAGGAGACACATCACTCTGAATGCCGCCACTTAAGGTCAATAGAAAAATGTTGATTAGAGGATGTTCTGTAGCTCCCACTGCAGACACATCAGTTGTCCACTTTTGGGGATATGTGTGTGTGAGAGAGAAATAAAAGAGATTTAATAAATCAAAACTCTGACATAGTTTTAAGGTTAAAAATAAATGATGGAAATCATATTTAACATAGGTAAATTGTAGGGAACATTTTCAATTCCTTTTGCTGCACGTTTGAAGAGCATACTAAGAGCTGTGGTTTGAAAATTGCACAGGGAAGTTATGATCAGTATGTCATCTGGAATGGATCTTTTTAGTATTATTTCACATATTTAAACCTAGTGTGGCTGAGTACAAAGAGGAGAAACACACAGGGGACATTGGACCGAGAACTCTCTTTTGGTTCTATACTAAAAAATCAAAAGACATTTATCTGCTAACACATCTTTCTGTATCTGTCTTTCTCTTCTTCTCTCTAGATTTTAATAAGAAAGGAAGGTGTAAATATTTTATTCAAAAAATACAGAAAATGATGGACATTTTATAAACATTTAATGAAATTATTATAGTTATACTGATGTGTTTCAAATGAGCAGAATTAAAGTAGATAATTATTTGTACAGAGCCATTTGGTGTAGTATTAAAGCATTAGATTAGATTAGAAACTAGGAGATTGTGAACTCTAATCCTGCCTTAGCTTTATGACTGAATTATTGTAACACATTGTACATTGGGCCTCTCTTGAAGACAATCTGGAAGTTGTAGCTGGTTCAGAATGCAGTAGCAAAAGTAGTAACGGGAGGTTTCCACTTCTGAAATCTAACCAAGAAAACTGCAGAGATTAATCCAGGCACTTGCCAGAAATTATTTGAAGACAATATAACAACAACAACAACAATAATAATAATAATAATAACAACAACAACAACTACAACTACAACGACAATAATAATAATAACCAGTCTGAATATCTGGCTGACTGTGCGATAATTAAAATTAAAATTATTAAAATTAAAATAAGTAAAACAAAATTAAAAGTAATTAAAATTAAAATTAAAACATATGGAACATTACAAACATTCATCCTGCTTATATATCAGCTATCTTCCTTAGCTATGATTTTAATTCTGTCTAATGAGAGTATTCTGTTTATAATAGTATATGAATACTATAATACACTAATATTCTTATAGAATGATTAATATTTATTATTAATTATAATTAAGGTAAGGGAAAGAGTTTCACGATTTATACCCATCACAGCACAGCCATTTTCCATTAAAGTGTCTCATTCTGCTATGGAACTATTTTCCAACATTCATGTGTTGTTGTTTTTTCATTCATACAGAAATGGAAAATTGGACAGAGGTGTCCGAATTCATTCTCCTAGGCTTAACAAATGACCACACACAGCAACGTGTTCTCTTCACAGTTTTTCTACTGCTATACCAGACTTGCTTATTTGGAAATGGAGCCATCTTAGTAGTTACCTTTGTTGAACCACGATTACACACCCCCATGTATTTTTTCCTAGGGCATCTGTCATTTTTGGATATATGTTGTTCTACAGTAATTGTGCCAAAAATGTTGACTGGGTTCATAACAGAGCAACAAACTATTTCCTTTGTTGGCTGCCTCACTCAGCTGCATTTCTTTCACTTCCTGGGCAGCAGTGAGGGCATGCTTTTGGCTGTCATGGCATTTGACCGTTATGTAGCCATATGTAATCCTTTGCATTATACCATTATCATGAATAAATTGACTTGTGTTATGCTAGTTGGGGTCACCTGGGTCATTGGTTTCTTTCATGCCCTGATGCATACAGTGGTGACCTCCCAGGCATGGTTTTGTGGTCCTAATCTTATCCAGCACTTTTTTTGTGACATCAAACCTCTCCTCATGTTGGCCTGCAGCAGCATAGTCCTAAACCTCACACTTCTTAATGTTGTCACTAGTGGTATTGCTCTGACCTCTTTTTTCCTTACTCTCTTGTCCTATCTTTACATTGTCACATTCCTGTTTTTCAAAGCCAGCTTGTGGCAGAACCGTTGGAAAGCTTTCTCCACCTGTGCTTCCCACCTGACAGTTGTGGCTCTTTTGTACATCCCTGTTATTTTTAATTATATTCTTAGCTCTGCTGCTGAATCTGCTGAAAGGGAGATGAGCATGACTCTGCTGTATAGTGTCTGCACTCCAGTTTTAAATCCTTTGATTTACACTTTGAGAAATCAAGAGGTCAAATCTGCTCTAAGAAAAATCCTATGCAGAAAATCTCCTTCTAGAGGAACATAAACACATAGAGGAATGATATAGATATAACATTAGAATTTCTTTGAATGGGAAAACTTGATTTTTTGGAAGTCTCATTGGAAACATGAAAAGTAAGTTCACCTTCAGTCCCTGAAGCTGGTTGGGCCTTCTCAAACCAATCTCCTATCACCAATTGCTCACTTACCTTTCAAAGATCTCCAGAATTCAATATGTCAGGAAAGGAGAAGAGGCTGGGTAATGTATCATGCAGAGGCCATGCCCACCCCAGCTCCAACAATGCGAAAAAAGTTGCAATACATCGCAACATGTCACATGATGTGGCAAGTTTGACACCTGTGCTCTATTGTACACTCTGAAATAAATTTTGTATATAACTCATCCTATTTTGCTGTGTCCCTTCAATTATTTTTCAAAAGTTTGAGCAGAGAATTTTACCAATGCCCATTCTGGAGGATAGAGGAATTTGCTTCTATTCAGATCCTTGGTAATTTTCCTTTATTTTTCATATTGGAGTACTTTAATCATTATTATCTCCCCTGAGTTTTAATCAGTTATATTTTCCAAATCTATTATAGCATATATATGTCCCAAGACTCAAAAAACTCTGCTAAATTAGTGTTGTTAAAAGGTATTATAGAGAATGTATATAAACAGAGGAAAAATTTTTGATTGTGTTTATCTGCATATGTGGGAATGGCTACATGAGGAGGACCATGACCTATCCTGGTAGGAGCTGAAAATTCTATCTATTCTTCATGTTCACAGAATTGTAGTTGCCTTGAGCGTGACCAATATGCAGATTGTTTGGAATTGCTAAGAAAGAGAATATCTGTAGAATCATTCATGTTGCCATGTGTCCCCAAGGGAAAGATGGGATATGAATATTATAAAGTAATAGATAAATACTCTTTCTTTTAAGTTTTATCTAATAATTCATCCATAGTATAACATCTGCTGAAAATGGTTGGAAGAATATATCTTCATGCATAACATACAAAGCTGTTACCAGCAAACTGAGTGTTACCCTTTCTATCCCTGAACCACAATTACTGATAGATATGAAGAAAGATTGCACAAAAAGTTGAGTTTATTATATCTATCTAGGTGAACTTAACTCCTGTATTTTAAAGGTTTCTAAATAGTAAGATATAGCCCTTGATATTTGCACCTCGGTGTCCCATTTACAATGTAATCTTCAAATCCTTGAAATGGACTATAAAAATAATTGGTATTACTACATTTCATCATTCATTGTAAATCCACTTGAAATATATATATATATATATATATATATATATATATATATATATATATATATATATATATATTTGTTTTCTGAGGTGTTCGCGGGTATTTGTATATAGGTCTTTGGTTGTTCGGGTTTTCTCCCGCGTAAAATTGGAAGTGTCTTGGCAACGTTTCGACGAAGTCACATTCGTCATCTTCAGGCTGGCCACATGGGAAAGAAAAACTGGACAACTTCCTCACACACCTCAACAGCCTACACCCCAAAATACAGTTCACCATGGAAACAGAAGCTAACAACCAACTTCCCTTCCTGGATGTCTTAGTCTACAAGAAATCCAATGGCTCCCTAGGACACACCATCTACCAGAAGAAAACACACACAAACCGCTATCTGCACGCTCTCTCACACCACCACCCAGCACAGATCAACTCTGTAGCCAAGACACTCATCTCCAGAACAAAACGCTTAGCTGACGAACAACACCTAAAACCCGAACTACACACTCTCACCAATGTACTAACATCCAATGGATTCCATAGAAATAAGATTACAAACCTAATCCAAAAAGAAACCCCCACTAAAATCCAAGACAAGAACAAGAAAACGGCAAAGCATCCTCCCATACATAAAAGGCATCACAGACAGAATCAGTAAGATCCTCCATAAACACAACATCAAAACAGCATTCTGCACAAACAGAAAAATATCCACCATCCTTAGAAACCCCAAAGATAAAATTGAATTAGAAAATCAAGGAGTATACGAAATCCCATGCACCACTTGTCCCACCACATACATCGGACAAACCAACAGAAGAATAAGTGCACGCATTGAAGAACATAAGAACTCAGTCAAAAAAGAGGAACCAACATCTTCCCTGGTCCAACACCTTAAAGCCACAGGACACGAAATTGACTTTAAAAATACCAGAACCATTGCCAAAAGTGAACATTTTAATAACAGAATAATCAGAGAAGCCATCGAGATAGAAAAACGCCCACACAGCATGAACAAGCGAGATGATACCTCCCGCCTACCAGCCATTTGGAAACCCGCCCTCATTGACAAACGACTCCCTAACACAAAAATGATACCAGACCCACACTCACAAAAACCACACAGGAGGTCACCACCAAACATCCACGCAAAAAACAAACCCAAAGCCACACTGACTATGAGGCACGACCACAAACCAGAAGCCAGACCACAGCTGCATCATTAGCCACTTTAAACCCCCCCAATCCATACATGAAGCAAACTGACACCCTCCATGAAGAGGAAGCACGACCACGAACGCGAAGCCAAGGAATGGCAGGGCAGCCCAAAATCTTGAATCCCTCTGCAACTCAGACTAACCTGAGCACAACCAAACAGAACACTCCCCCAGCCAATCAGAGCACAGCCAACCCCCCAGCCAATCAGAGCACAGCCAACCCCCCAGCCAATCAGAGCACAGCCAAGCCCCTAACCAATCAGAACACACCTCCACCCAATCAGAACACAGCCAAGCTCCCACCCAATCAGTTCATACCCCCACTGGCAGTTAAAAGGAAGAAACAGCTAAGACCACACATTGCTGCTCGAAGCACGAAGCTGAAAACACCAGCCTGAAGATGACGAATGGGACTTCGTCGAAACGTCGCCAAGACACTTCCAATTTTACGCGGGAGAAAACCCGAACAACCAAAGACCTACATATATATATATATATATATATATATAATATATATATATATATATATGAGCACCTGTCAGCCTAGATGAGTTCAAATCGCCCGGACCAGATGAATTACATCCCAGAGTTCTCAAGGAACTGGCAGATGTGATATCGGAGCCACTGAACTATATTTTTCAAAGATCCTGGAACACAGGGGAACTACCAGAGGACTGGAAAAGAGCTGATGTAGTTCCCATCCTCAAAAAAGGAAAAAAAATGGATCCAGGAAATTACAGACCTATCAGCCTGACCTCAATACCTGGGAAGATCCTGGAAAAGATAATCAAACAACGAATCAACGAACACCTAGAGGCAAACAAAGTCATTACTAAAAGCCAACATGGGTTTGTCAAAAATAGATCATGCCAGACAAATCTTATTGCATTCTTTGACCAAGTGACAAAATTAGTGGATCAGAGGAATGCTGTGGACATAATTTACTTGGACTTCAGTAAGGCATTTGATAAAGTAGATCACAACCTACTACTTGACAAGATAGAAAAATGTGGGGTAGACAGAACCACCACCAGATGGATCCGTAGCTGGCTGACCGGCCGTACTCAGCGAGTGGTCCTCAATGGAACTGCATCTATATGGAGGGAAGTGTGTAGTGGGGTGCCCCAGGGCTCTGTTCTGGGCCCAGTACTCTTCAACATCTTCATCAACGATTTGGATGAAGGGATAGATGGGGAACTCATCAAATTTGCAGACGACACCAAGCTGGCAGGAATAGCCAACACTCCAGAAGACAGGCTTAAGAGATACAGAAGGATCTGGACAGACTTGAACACTGGGCACTAACTAACAAAATGAAATTCAATGGTGAAAAAAGCAAGGTTCTACATTTAGGCAAGAAAAACCAAATGCACAAGTACAGCATAAGTGGCACTATGCTCAATAGTAGTAACTGTGAGAGGACCTCGGAGTCCTAGTAGACAATCACCTAAATATGAGCCAGCAGTGTGCTGCAGCTGCCAAAAAGGCCAACACAGTGCTAGGCTGCATTAACAGAGGGATAGAATCAAGATCACGTGAAGTATTAATACCACTCTTCAATGCCTTGGTAAGGCCACACTTGGAATACTGCATCCAGTTTTGGTCACCACGATGTAAAAAAGATGTTGAGACTCTAGAAAGAGTACAGAGAAGAGCAACAAAGATGATTAGGGGACTGGAGGCTAAAACATATAAGGAACGGTTGCTAGAATTGGGTATGTCTAGTTTAACGAAGAGAAGGACAAGGGGGGACATGATAGCAGTATTCCAATATCTCAGGGGCTGCCATAAAGAAGAGGGAATTAAGCTATTTTCCAAAGCACCTGAAGGCAGGACAAGAAGCAACGGGTGGAAACTAATCAAGGAGAGAAGCAACCTAGAACTAAGGAGAAACTTCCTGACAGTGAGAACAATTAATCAGTGGAACAGCTTGCCTCCAGAAGCAGTAAATGCTCCAACACTGGAAGTTTTTAAGAAGAGACTGGACAGCCATTTGTCCGAAATGGTGTAGGGTTTCCTGCCCGAGCAGGGGGTTGGACTAGATGACCTCCAAGGTCCCTTCCAACTTTACTAATATGAACATATATATATATATATATATATATATATATATATATATATATATATATTACTTAGTTCTATGTTATGAATAAAATTTTGCTTTTTTTCTTTTATCATACCCATTGTTTTCCTTTCTTACCTTCAAATACAATTATTGTCTTTCTTTACTCTCTCTTTGCCTATATTTCATTTTATTTCACAATCTCAATTTTGGGCATGAAGTAAATCTGGATAAAACGAAGTATTTCATTTTCTGATTGTTGCACTCACATGAGCAGTGACCAAAAGTAGAAAGCAAGCAGGTGACCCAATTCAATGTCATTAGTTGATGTACAGTAGAGGGACACAACATCTACAAATCTATTGCATTAAACAAATACATATACAAACAAACACAACAAATCTAACAGTAAATGTAGGAAGTCATAAACTTTTGTACAGAGTGAATTTGAATCTCTTTCTCTGTCTTTACTCTCCCTTTATCTTTACTTTCTTTTATTTCACAATCTTAATTTTGACAATGAAACAAATCTGGATAAAATGAAATCTTCCATGATCTGTACCATGCACTCATAAGAAAAAAGACAAAAAAGTAGAAAGCAAGCAGGTCACTTCCTTCAATTTCATTTTACAGTATAGACAAACAAGCAAACAAGAACCTAACCCCAAAACAAAACAAATCTAATATATGAAAATGTAAAGTTTTGGAAGTGAGTGAATTTTAATAAGGTGCCACGACTGAATGTCAAATACTGCTTAGAAAATGATTTTACATTGCTATATCTAGCATTGTGATGCTTTCTCAAATAACTATTTTTTTCCTATTTATAGAGATGAAGAACTGGACAGAGGTGTCTGAATTTATTCTCCTGGGTCTAATAAAGGATCACAGGCTGCAACAGGTTCTCTTCACCTTTTTCCTGCTTCTCTATATAGCCTGTTTATTAGGAAATGGGGTTATCCTGGGAATCACCCTAGCTGAGCCTCAGCTCCACACCCCCATGTATTTTTTTCTGGGGAACCTTTCTGGTTTGGATATATGCTACTCAACAGTGACTGTGCCAACAATACTAAGTGGCTTTCTTAGAAAGAATCAGTCGATCTCCTTTACTGGCTGCCTCACTCAGCTGCACTTCTTCCACTTCCTGGGCTCTAGCGAGGGTATGCTTCTAGGCATCATGGCATGTGACCGTTATGTGGCTATCTGTAGTCCATTGCGTTATACTCTCCTAATGAATAAATGGACTTGTCTTACACTAATTGGGACCATGTGGGCAACTGGCTTCTCTTATGCCTTGATGCATACAGTGGTGACCTCTCAGCTATGTTTCTGTGGACCTAAACTAGTCCCACATCTTTTCTGTGACATCAAACCCCTCCTCAAGTTAGCCTGCAGTAGTACAGCACTCAGTTTTATTTTGCTGAATGCTGTCACTGGTTCTTTTGCTTTCTGTTTGCTCTTTTTCACTCTTCTCTCCTATTTTTACATCATCTCCTTCCTCTTTCTCAAAGTCCAATCATGGAAGAATCGTTGGAAAGCCTTCTCTACCTGTGCATCTCACCTGACTGTTGTGGCAATGTTCTACATTCCAGTGTTGTCCAACTACATGCTTGCTTCCACCAGTGGTTCTTCTGAGAAAGACCTTATCATCTCTTTGTTATATACTGTATTTACACCAGTTTTAAATCCTCTGATTTACTGTTTGAGGAATCAAGAAGTCAAATCTGCTATAAGGAAGATTCTAACTCAAAACATCCTATTTAAAAGGACATGAATATTTCTGCTTTTGGAGAACATAAGAAATTGTGATGAGCACCTTCAGAGCAGTTTAATTGCTTTGCGTGACTCCTTTCTATAAGACCAATTCCAATCAGCATTATTAAGGAGTGATAATTCCAGCTCTGTATTCTCACTGCTCCTTTTTAACATCTATATGAAACTACTGGGTGAGATCATCTGACACTATGGTACGATGACATACAGCTTTACATCTCCACCCTAGTGAACCTAACAATGCTGCGGCTCCCCTTTCTCAGTGCCTGGAGGGCTGTAAGGCTCTTTATGGGGAACAACAGGCTTAAGCTTGCACCTGGAAAGACAGTGATGCAAGACCCAATATATAACTAGATCCACAACTCCTATTCAATTCCAATTCAGAATATAGCTGGAATGGACCTTGGAGGACTTTTAGTCCAACCCTCAAGCAGGAGACCCTATACTATATCAGTCAAGTAGTTGTCCAATCTCTTCTTAAAAACTTCCAGTGATGAAGCACGCACAACTTCTAAAGACAAGCTGTTACACTTTTTAATTGTTCTCATTGTTAGGAAGTTTTTCCTTAATTCCAGGTTGCTTCTCTCCTTGATTAGTTTCCATCCATTGTTTCTTGTCTTGCCTTCTGGTGTTTTGGAAAGTAAGTTGACATATACCATTTATAAATTTTCTGCTGGGACACTGACCCTCAGGAACATTCTATCACTAGAGGTCAAAACCTTGCACACACTTTCTGGTATTAATATGGTTATTAATACAGTTTTAATAGGGTATTAATATGGTTTTATCAGTTGCCTTGGGGCCCTAAGGGGCACACACTGTTGGAGGTAGTTGATGGGATCTCATCTTCATGCCATCCATATCTCACTCTTGATTTTTGTATAATTTTAAAATTTTAATTTGCATAGTTTTAATATTTTTTTCTATTTAGTTTTTTATACTCTGCAAGCTTTATAAGGGAGATGGGCAGCATTAACATTTAATAAACAAATACTTTTAAATATAATACATTTCTTCAGAATTCCCATTTTACAGTAAAAATATTCTGTTGGTAACTCATGCAACATATAATATCTTCCACTATCTAGATAATACATGAAGAGAACATGGATTATTTTCAAAATTCTATCTATTCTTCATATGCATAGAATCGTAATTGCCTTTAGCATGATTTACCCCCCATTCCCATTATGCAGACTGTCTGGAACTGCTAAGAAAGATAATAGCTGCAGAATAATTTACATTGCCTTGTGTCTCTGAGAGAAAGATGCATTTGCATATTATAAAAGAAATAAATACATGAATACTGTTTTTTTTAATTTCGTCTGATAATTCATCCATCTACTGAAAATTGAGCATCATACTTTTTATTCCTGAACAACCAGAGGTGACACATAAGTTGTGAAGAACAGTTGCAAAAATATTTGAGGTATTACATCTGTCTAAGTTAACCAAACTTTTTTTTAATGGTTTCTAATGCACCCATTGGCATTCATTAGGTAATCGAGAAATAATAAGACATTGGTATTTGCATCTCAGTGTCCCATTCACAGTTGAATTTCTGATCCTTGAAATGGTCTACAAAAATAATTATTTTGTGTTACAACATTTCATCATTCATTGAAAATTCACTTTAAAAGTGCTTTTGGTTTCCCGTGTATGCTATGGATAAGGAATGACATACTTATATATAGCCTTAGCAAATCAGAAATGCAAATTTGAAAAACAAATAAAATAAAAAGTGAAGCAAACAATGGCTTTCTCTAAATATTGCCCTCTTACAAATATATACTTTCTTTTGTGGTTGGGCCAGTATCTTGCCAGCAATTTACAGTTTTATAGTTTATAAAATTGAAATAAATAAATAAAATATGGAAACTAATCAAGGAGAGAAGCAACCTAGAACTAAAGAGAAACTTCCTGACAGTTAAAACAATTAACCAGTGGAACAACCTGACTCCAGAAGCGGTGACTACTCCAACACTGAAAGTTTTTAAGAAGAGACTGGACAGCCATTTGTCCGAAATGGTATAGGGTTTCCTGCCTGAGCAGGGGGTTGGACTAGATGACCTCCAAGGTCCCTTCCATCATCATCATCATCATCATCATCATCATCATTATATTGTTTTATTTGCCACGGAAAGAAGGAGAATGAGTAAAATTATGGCATAATTTCTGTATATAAATTAAAGTTTTCAATTAATAAAGAATAATTGATATTACCAGGGCTTTTTTTGTCATAGAACACCCAGAACGGAGTTCTGGCACCTTTTTTGGATGGAACCTTGTAGGGTAGGCAAGGCGGGTTGTATAATGTGTGTGAGTTCCGGCACTTTTTTTTTTTTTTTACAAAAAAAGCACTGGATATTACTAGTATACAGTATATTCATTCTCTGTAAGTCTAAGTCAGGATCTAGTACAAAAAAAAAAAAGATTTAAATTCCAATCCTGAAAACCACAGGAAGAAAAAGAAAATGTTAAAAATCAGTTCAGTTTTCACCCTTGCTTCTGTCACTCTAAAAAAAAAAAAACCAAGAGTATAATATCTAACAGTATTTTTTGCCAATTAATGTCTAAATGTCCAAAATCATTAGAAAACCAAATATTTTATATGTGCATCCCTTGCCATAACCATTTGGCAATGATATTGAAACACCAATTGTTTTTAAAGATTGAATGCATGAATGCAAAACAAACAAACAAAGAAATAAACAAACAACATTCATGAGTCTCCATCTTACTACCTAGCATTGAATCTTTGTTTCCTTACAGAATAGTTAACCACATTTGCTTTTTTTGTTTTGTTTTGTTTTGTTTTCAGAGATGAAAAACTGGACAGAAGTCTCTGAATTCATTCTTTTGGGTCTAAAAAAGGACCACAGCTTACAACAGATTATCTTCACACTCTTCCTGCTGTTCTATATAGTCTGTTTATTAGGAAATGGGTCCATCCTGGGAGTCATCCTGGCTGAACCTCCGCTCCATACCCCCATTATTATTTTTTCTGGGAAACCTTTCCTGCTTGGATATGTTCTACTCTACAGTGACTGTGCCCAAAATGCTAAGCAGCTTCCTTAGAAAGCATCAGTCTATCTCCTTGATTGGCTGCCTCACTCAGCTGCACTTCTTCCACTTCCTAGGCAGTAATGAGGCTGTGCTGCTGGGCGTCATGGCATATGATAGATATGTAGCTCTCTGTCATCCTCTGCGTTATACTCTCGTCATGAGTAAATGGGCTTGTATTACACTGGCCTGGGCAGCAAGGACTGCTGGCTTCTTTCATGCCTTGATGCATAGAATGGTGACCTCTCAGCTGTGGTTTTGTGGTTCTAATCTCATTGCACACTTTTTCTGTGACATCAAACCCCTCCTCAAATTAGCTTGCAGTAGCACAACTCTCAACTTCTGTCTTCTTAAATTTGTCACTGGTCCTTTTGCTGTGAGTCCCTTCTTTGTCACACTTCTCTCCTATATTTACATCATCTCCTCCTCTTCTTCAAAGTTCAATCATGACGGAACCGATGGAAAGCCTTCTCTACTTGTGCATCCCATCTGAGTGTGGTGGCCCTCTTCTATATTCCAGTACTTTCCAGCTATATGGTTGCTTCTGCTAGTGATTCTTCTGAGAATGATATGATCATTTCTGTGTTATATAGTGTAATCACACCAGTTTTAAATCCCCTGATCTACACACTGAGGAATCAAGAAGTCAAATTAGCTATAAAAAAGATTCTAAACAAAAAAGTTCATTTTGAAAGGGATTAAAGGTTGGTGCTTCCTTAGAAAGCATCAGTCTATCTCCTTGATTGGCTGCCTCACTCAGCTGCACTTCTTTCACTTCCTGGGCAGTAGTGAGGCTGTGCTGCTGGGCGTCATGGCATACGATAGATATGTAGCTATCTGTCATCCTCTGTGTTATACTCTTCTCATGAGTAAATGAGCTTGTATTACATTGACTGGAGCGATTTTAGCTGGCTTCTTTCATGCCTTGGTGCATGCAATAGCGACCTCTAAGCTGTGGTTCTGTGGTCCTAATCTCATTGAACACTTTTTTTGTGATATCAAGCCTCTCCTGAAGTTAGCTTGCAGTAGCACAGCACTCAACTTCATCCTATTGAATCTTCTGAGTAGCTTTATTGCTCTGAGTCCCTTCTTTTTTACGCTTCTCTCCTATTTTTACATCATCTCCTTCCTCTTCTTCAAGGTATAGTCATGGCGGAACTGTTGGAAAGCCTGCTCCACCTGTGCATCCCATCTGAGTGTGGTGGCCATCTTCTATATTCCAGTAATTTCCAATTATATGGTTGCCTCTGCTAGTGATTCTTCTAAGAAGAATATGATCATTACCGTGTTATACAGCACAATCACACCAGCTTTAAATCTCCTAATCTACACACTGAGGAATCAAGAAGTGAAATTTGCTATAAGAAAGATTTTAAACAAAAATCTTCTTTTGGAAAGGGCCTAAATATCTTTATGTGTGAAAAATAAAATAATAATTATGAATGTCTTGAAAGCATTTTTCAGGTTGAATTTATTAAGAAAACTCATTATATCAGTGGTTCTCAACCTTTTTAATGCCGCGACCCCCAACCGGTTGTAAGTTGAGGACTACTCAACCGGTCGTAACTTGAGGACTACTCAACTGGTGCAGCACCGTTTGCAGAATGGGACTTTTGGTGGGCTCAGCAGGCAGAGACAGCCTGGACCATTCCTATTGGCTTTTGAAAGCCAACAGAATTAGACTCTATTCAAGAGAGTCTATTCTATTGGCTTTCAAAAGCCAATAGAATAAAAGGGAGTAGCACAGCTAAGGAAAAGGGGGAAAAAATGGCGGACTGCGTTGTTTGGCAACCCCCGTGAAATGGTTGTTCGACCCCAAATGGGGTCCCGACCCACAGGTTGAGAACCACTGCATTATGTGCTCTCCTTCCTTTGATGTTATGTTATAATGATTCAGATTTCATCTCCTATTCTTTCTTATTTCTGTAGGAGCTTTCT